AAAAAAAAAAAAAAAAAAAAATGCCATTTGGGAAGCTACAAAAACGAGGCATGACTGCCTATAACTCTAGAGCTCAGAAGAGAGGCCTGGGCTAGAAAAATAATTTAGGAGTCATCATCTCACCGATCATAGAACACAAAAATAAGCTAAATGATTTTTGATGACATTTCACCACTTGATGCATTTAAAACTTATTGATCTGGTTAATCCATAGTTAAGTATTACGTGTATCTGCAAACATCAGGAGCAGTAGTATATGAACAAACATACAGAAGATAAAGAAAAAATAATTTCCCCAAACCAACTAGATTAAATTTTTAATATGGCTACTTAAAAATGTTTCAATTTGTATTATTTATAATTGATCCCTAATTTACGTGAGTTTAAAACATGTCAAACAGGTGCAGTGGCTCACTCCTGTTATCCCAGCACTTTGAGAGGCCAAGGTGGGTGGATCACCTGAGGTCAGGAATTAGAGAAAGCCTGGCCAACATGGAGGAACCCTGTCTCTACTAAAAATACAAAAATATTGAATACAAAAAGTTGAATAATGGTGGCCAATATTCAACATCCTTAAAGAAAAGAACTTTCAACCCAGAATCACATTTCCAGCCAAACTAAGCTTCATAAGCGAAGGAAAAATAAAATCTTTTGTGAACAAGCAAGTACTCAGAGATTTCATCACCACCAAGCCTGCTTTACAAGAGCTTCTGAAAGAACCACTACACATAGAAAGGAACAACCAGTATCAGCCTTTCCAAAAATATACCAAAAAGTAAAGAGCATCAACATAATGAAGAATTTATATCAACTAATGGGCAAAACAGCCAGCTAGCAACAAATGGCAGTATTAAACTCGACCAAATCGCCAATCAAAAGACACAGCCAAAACCCATCAGTATGCTGCATCCAGACCCATCTATACACAAAGATTCAAAACAAAGGGATGGAGAAAGATTTACCAACCAAATGGAGAGCAAAAATAAATAAATAAATAAAAAGCAGGAGTTGCGATTCTCGCCTCTGATAAAATAGATTTTAAAGCAACAAAGATCAAAAGAGGCAAAGAAGGACATTACATAATGGTAAAAGGATCAATGCAACAAAAAGAGCTAACAATCCTAAATATATACGCACCCAATACAGGAACACCCAAATACATAAGACTTATAAAGAGACTTAGACTCCCACACAATAATAGTGGGAGACTTCAACATCAATATTAGACAGATCAATGAGACAGAAAATTAACAAGGATATCCAGGACCTGAACTCAGATTTGGAACAAGTAAACTTAATAAACATTCATAGAACTCTCCACTTTAAATACACAAAATATACACTCTCATCAGCACCACATAACACCTACTTACAGGTTTAAATGGAATATTGGTTGGCTGCTTGTTCATTATTTTCTTCCCTCATTTTTTCCTGTCTCCATTATTAAGCACAATTATTGGTATAAAAAAGGCTTTCAATACCCATTTTTAGACTGCATTTTAGCTTGGGCAATAAAGCAACACTTCCATTCTCTCTTCCTTTTCCTCTTTCTCTCCTTCATTCTTTTTATTTTCTTTCTTTCTTTTAAAAAAAAAAAAAAAAAATCAGCCGGGTGTTGTGGCAGTCACCTGTAATCCCAGCTATTCGGGAGGCTGAGGCAAGAGAACTGCTTAAACCCAGGAGTCAGAGGTTGCAGTGAGCCGACATTACACCATGGCACTCCAGCCAGGGTGACAGAGCCAGACTCCGTCTCAAAAAATAAATAAATAAAATAAAAAATAAAATGTCAATTAATATACTTTAGAAACATTTAACTTCTATTATAAATATTATAGTAATATAAATAATAGTTACCTTTAACTTAATGTTGGATAAACCTTCTTTTTCTGTAATACTTCCAGAAAGCTGAATTGCAGAAGGAGAGTAATCAATTCCAGTAATATTAGAGAAACCAAATTTTGCCTAGAGAGAAATAATTTTATACTTTAGTTGGTAAAAGCTTTAATATGATGTTTTATAGGACTGGAGTTATTTTTGTTGTAGAGAACATGACATATAATCCAATAATTCATAATTTTTAAATGTTATTGTAGACTCTAAATAAAAATTGAAAGTTTATATACTGTGACAATGCCTTTGTTTTCACAATATTTTATTTCTTTTCCAAAAGGAAATTCATGTTCTCAAAAATAATGAAAATATATGTATAAGCCCTTAGGCAGAAAAAGGTAACATTAACTTTTGATGCTGATAACTTCCAATTCACACATAAATTTGTCATAAATTTTACTTAACCCACTTAAGTTATATGAATAAAATCAATGCAAATGTAATAAGCTATCAATTTGTAAATTTTCCCTTCAGTGTAATTATACATTATGCAAGTCTCCACCATGTGATTTTTAACCACCCTACATTTGTATATTACCTTTTCATTTTTTTTTTGTTTTGTTTTGTTTTTTCAGTATTCAAAACAATACTTTTTCATTTTTAAAAAGATTTCAAGGCCGGGCGCGGTGGCTCACGCCTGTAATCCTAGCATTTTGGGAGGTCGAGGTGGGCGGATCACCTGAGGTCAGGAGTTCAACACCAGCCTGACCATCATGGAGAAACCCCATCTTAAATAAATAAATAAATAAAATAAAAAATAAATATTTCATACATTCCATTAGATCTTTACAAAAAACCTGTGAGGTAGGGTGGGCAGCTATCAGCATCCCCAAGAAAGTTTCTTTAACTCACTGGACTTGAGAGTTTGGTGTTTACTAACCTATCTAGGCTGTGTGAGTCTGTGGCAAAAGCACGGTAGCTTCTGGTCTTTACACACCTGCTAACAAGGCTAAACATTTTTAGACCAATGAGACTAAAAATAATTTCAAAGGAAACATGAAAAACAAAGTAAGTTATAAAGTACAGTACAGCCTGAAATTCCCTTCCTGCTCTTCACCATTTACTAAATGGTTACTTCCTATAAAACTTAACTTGGCCGGGCGCGGTGGCTCACGCCTGTAATCCCAGCACTTTGGGAGGCCGAGGCGGGTGGATCACGAGGTCAAGAGATCGAGACCATCCTGGGCAACACGGTGAAACCCCGTCTCTACTAAAACTACAAAAAATCAGCTGGGCCTGGTGGCGCGTGCCTGTAATCCC